TGACTAAAAATCCTGACAAGAACAATTAGAGAATGTAAAGTTTCTTTGGGGGCTCATGGTTTCAGAGGTCTCAGTCCATTGACAGCCAGTTCCATTCCTAGGGGCTTGAGATGAGGCAGAACATCATGGAGGAAGAGTGTGGCAGAGGAAAGCAGCTGGGAACATGGTGCTATTGTATCCCATCTACAACTAAAAAAAAAAAAAAAAATACCCCAAGGCAGGCCCTCCAATGACCCACCTCCTCCAACTGCACTCTGCCTTCCTTCAGTAACCACTCAGTTAATCCTTATCAAGGGATTAAGTCACTAATTGGGTTGAAATAACCCAGTTATTTCACATCTAAGCCTTCTTGCATTGTTTCACACATGAGCTTTAGAGGAACACCTAATATCTAAATCATAACACATGGTGTGACCACCTTTCTTCACTCAGGATAAGGGTGAGACCTCCCCAGATACATGAGCTGTCTTTATTTATTTAGGTATTTGGAATTGAGCCCAGGGGTGCTCTACCACTGAGCTACATTTCCAATACTTTGTATTTTTTATTTTGAGACAAAATGTCACTAAGTTTCTTAGGGCCTCACCAAATTGCTGTGGCTAGCTTTGAACTTGTGATTCTCCTGCCTCAGCTCTTTGAGTTGCTGAGATTATAGATGCATGCTCCTGCATGCAGCTCACTCACTGATCCTTGCTTTTTTTTTTTTTTTTTTTTTAGTTACTGGGGATTGAACCCAGGGGCACTTTACCACTGAGCTATATCCTCAGCCCTTTTTATTTTTTATTTTGAGACAATCTTGCTAGTTGCTTATGAAAGAAAAGTGGTGCAGGACTGATCACACACACACACCTGGGATAAGAGGTGGTTTTATTGTCAGGAGCCTGACAAGGCTGCTCTGCAAAAAGAGAGGGACAGCAGCAGCAACTCCCCTTGAATGTACCTTTTATAGGATAGAATCATGGCTGCAGGTGAGGGGCAGGTTTAGTCTTGACTGACATAGTAAGCATCTCCTGATCTTATGGAAGCCAAGTTTGTTTCTTGGGAACAGAGACAGGCAGTTTTCCTATCTCTCAAAGGGGGAACAGGGAAACCGGCATGTCCCTGTATCTTCTCAAAGAGAGGACAGGCAAACCAGTACGTCCCCATCTCAGGGCAGTAAGTTGTCTCCTATCTCTCAATGAGGGAACAGGGAGAGACCAGCACGTCTCCAGGCCAGTAGGTTTTATCTTGGGCTACTTTCTATTTCTTGGGAATAAGAACAGTATTCATAAAGTGGGGGTGGGGAAAAGGAAGATGGCTACAATTATGCTAACAGCTTAGGGCCTCACCAAATAGCTGAGGCTGGCCTTGAACTTCTGATCTTTGGGCTTCAGTCTCCTGAGTTGCTGGAATTACAGACACGTGCCACTGTGCCCAGTTGGGTACACCCCTTTTTGAATTCCTCCCATTGCTGGGCCTTTAGCCTTGCTGCTCTTAAACAGTCGCCACACAGTGATTTTTTTTCCCCCCTGTTGTAATATTATCCCTATGAAGAAAGGTGCTCTTTCTTCTCACTTCTGTACCCTCTGAATCCAGCATAGAATCTGATACACAGTTGATGATGAGCAAAAATGTTGAATGAGAGAAAGGGCACCCCAGTGACAACATCTTAGTCTACTAAAAAGAACAAGTGTGCTGAAGAAGAACCAACCTGCTGGAGGTGAGGAGCATCTTTGGGCTTGACTCCCCCTCTTAGCTCTAGAAAGGTAGCTGTGCTTTCTCCCCTGGGGAAGAGTTGTGCTGGTAGTTGGCCTGGGCTTGTTGAGGCACACGGGAGGGCTCCACTGAGTTATGGTCCCATCAGATAAAACTGTTAGTCTCGGCAGGCCTCTGGGTATGATGGAAGTCACGTCGTCACTTTGGAATCACAATATGGTTCCTTCCTGCTCTGGTAACAACTCACTTTCCCAGCTCTGCTCCTTCACATAGGCTTTCAGGGCTCTCCATTGTCTCTCACATTCCCACGCCTGGACAGCGCTCCACCTCCTTTCCTTCAAGTAGGATTGCTTGCCTCTAATGGGGGCCTGAACACTTAGGACCCACTCTTCCTCCATAAGAACAAGGAGAGTCAAAAAGGCTTGGAGTGGGGCTGTATAGCTCAGTGGCAAAGCACTTGCCTCACATGTGTGAGCCATTGTATTCAATCCTCAGCACCACATAAAAAATAAAGATACTGTGTCCATATACAACTAAAAAAAATATTTTTAAAAAAAGAAGAAGAAGGGCTGAGGATGTGGCTCAAGCGGTAGCGCGCTCGCCTGGCATGCGTGCATCCCGGGTTGGATCCTCAGCACCACATACAAACAAAGATGTTGTGTCCGCCAAAAACTGAAAAATAAACATCAAAAGTTTCTCTCTCTCTCTCTCTCTCTCTCTCCTCTCTCTTTAAAAAATAAAAAATAAAAATAAAACAATAAAACCAAAGTTTGTATTTAAAAAAAAAAGAAGAAGAAGAAGGCTCGGAGGTACACTTTCCTCTTCCTCCTTTTTCGGGTTATGAGAAAAAGACGGAAGGATCTACAGGAAGTAGAATGATTTAAAAATGAGATGTTTGGCTTTTATGAGCAAGTCTAGTATAAAACTACAATACAGTGGGAAGTTTGCCAAGAGTATTTAGAAGTCTGGACACCAAGTAAAGTGCCAAGGGAGTGCAGGGTGAGTTGTGTATTAAAATCTTAGTAGCCTTTCCCCATCATGACATTTTCTGATGCTCCTTACTCCCCAACAAGGAAACCACCCAAGGTCTGCAGACTCTACCAAGGAGAGCTTTGGTCCCCAGCATCATGTGCTTCTGATTCAGTCACATCTGCCTCTGAACATGGTGCTCTGGGAGCCATCCCTGGCCCAGGAGGATCATTGTCAGGGTAGAGAGAGAAACTTTGAAGCCATTTCATCTCATGGTCCTGAGTAAAAGTCTCAATACTTAATAATGACAACTGAGGCCCTGCCAGGTTTTTCAAACCTTTATATTCATTGTTATGTTAGTTTGAGGTGGCTAAGGCAACCTGTGCGCGTGCAAAATTACAACACATCAGGCACTGACAAGCATTGATAACCACCTGTCAATCATCAGGGTCTCCTGACCAACCGCAGGAGGACAAGGGACTCTAAAAACCTCCCTTTCCTGTCCCAAGCCCAATAAAATTCCAATCCGTCTGAGCCTGAGTGGATTCTCTTGGATCCGCTCTGTTCCCCTGGAGGGTCTTGCCCGGGAGCGAATCTCATTAAAACCTCGTTCAGAAGCTTTTAGTCTGCCTCCTTTTGGTCACCGTGCCTGACCTTACACACATTACCATTCATTCTTACAATAGCTTACAGAATAGCCCTGGACAACCCCCTTGATAAATGAACAAGCTGAGACTCCAAAGGGAAGTTTGCCTGCCCAAGATTACCCAAATGCCAGAGCTGGGATTTAGCCCCTTGAAATCTGAACTGAATTTTCTCTTTCCTGGTCTGGCAGAATCAATGTCAATGTCAGTGGGTGAGGATGGCCAGAAGAGAGGACCTGGAGCCATCCCTACGTACCCTTCCCGACAGTGCAGTGGGAGCCACCTTCTACACAGCCCACAGTGGCCTAGCTCAGACTGCCTCCTGCGGGATCTGAAACAGTGGAACTCTGCCCTTTTTGATCCCATAGATAGCACAGAGCCAAGTACCTCAGACCCCAAAACTTATTTGAGTCAAGCCAAGATCCTACCACAACACCCATGCTTCATCTCTAAAATGGTCCTAGCCTCCAGAACACCAAGTCTGTGTGAGAGCACAAGCAGGGGTAAGGGGAGATTAAGGTCTACCTGGAACTGCCAGAGAGATTTGCTGTCCAAGTTGTGCTTCCTATAAGTAAAATATGGTATCCTAAACAAGGCCTAGCTTCCTCTCCCGCTCCTGCTTCTGCCTGTGCCCAGAAGAATCTGGGAACTACTCAGTAAGGGACTTCCCCAAGACTCCACCCTGGCTGGGGGAAATGACTGCTTTTATTTTCTCCCTGCCCCAGGAAGGCTCAGGAAGTAGGACACGTCAGAGCCCACACAAGGCTCCCAACTCATAAATAAAATATCCTCCTCTGTGTTTGATTTGAGTAAATAGCAGGGAACACCAAGGCCTGAGCACCTGTACCCAAGTCACAAAAATTTTGCTGTTATGTCTTTGAAGCCAGCATAGGCATGGCCACCAGATGGCGCAATCACCAGCTGAACTGGCCATAAATCCATTATTTACTAGAAACTTTGGAATGAACATCTCCTGAGCTGGCCTCTCAGCAGGACTTTGCTGAGGGACAGAAATATACCAGACTTGCAGGTTCTTTGCCCTCAAGCCATTTTCAGTCTAGTAGGGGAGAGAGACAAATACCCGAGATTAATACCCAAGACGGGTGCTGACCCAAGCCTAGCAGAAGCTGCCTGGCTCTGCCTGGAATGGGTCAGGCAGGGCATTGAGAGAAGGGTTGAAAAGGGCAGAAATCCTTCCCTTGCTCTCCGTGAAGGTCCAAGACCACATTTCGCCGAATATCTTCAGACTCCCCTAAAAAGATGCCCATGAACAAAATGGCCCTTAGCAGCCAACCTTAGTCCTATGGGCCCCCGTTTTTCTCTTTTCTCCAAACTGCCTCTTTTCCCTATTCACTTTATAGAGTCCTATAGAATTTTCCTTTCTTTTCTCCCACCCACACCTCTGGGAAGCTCAGGGTTAGTTGTTTAGTAATATGCATGCATGCATTTTATTTTTTAATTTATTTGTTGCATTAATTTATTTATACTATTTATTATTAATTGGTTGATTTTTTCAATGCTGGTGATTGAACCCGGGGGTGCTCTACCGGGGGTGAACTACACACACACCCCTGTTTCTTTTTCAAAATTATTATTTATTTGTTTTTTTTTTTTTTTTTTTTTTTATGGTGCTGAGGATCAAACCCAGGTGCACTATACTAATGAGCTACATACCCAGCCCTTTTTTTTTTTTTGAGACAAGGTCTCACTATGCTGCTCAGGTTGGCCTCAACTTGCAATCCTCCTGCCTCTACCCTCCGCGGAGCTGGGATTACAGGTACGGGCTACATCACTCTGCTTGGTAGCATATTGATTGCCTGCCTGGGTCTCGCGTGCGGGTGGGGAGCAAAGCAGTTGAGGTGCCTAGAGAGGCAGCTTGGGCTTCCCAGGCAGAGAGGTCTAGAGGTGAGGCCCCACCCCACTGAAGCTCCACGCTATTCGGCAGTGGGTCCCTGGCAGAAATTCCGGTTATAGAAATGGCGGTTGTCCCTGGTCAGAGCCGTGCTCAACTGAGCCCAGAAGCTGCCCTGACCACTGGGCTGGTGGGGCCAAAAGAGGACGCTCTGGCGGCAGAGGCGCTGGCGCAGGCGCACGTAGCGGGAGCGGCGGGCGTCCGGGCGCAGGATCACCAACACCACCACATCCTTGCGGTCCTCCAGCAGGCGCTGCTGGGCTAGCAGGAAGCTGGTGCGCAAGAGGCCACTGACCCGATCTGTGTGGTCCAGCACAAAGAGAGTCTTTCGGCTACCATAGACCGAGGCCCACAGGTTCTCGAAGAGTGATTTGCCCGGCAGCCAATCCCGCTCCTCCAGGCAAAGACGGAGCGCGCGGCGTCCGCGACGCTCCTCTAGCCTCACCCGCAGCTCATTGTACACCCAGTCAGCCACCGCGTTCTGCGCCTTGTCGAAGACCACGAAGGCATCGTAGGGCAGGGCGCGGGTGCCGCGCCGCAGGGGAAGCCAGGCCAGGCCCAGGTGGAAGCAGTACCAGAGGTCCCAGCCACAGAGGTGCTGTAGCACAGGCACAGTCAGACCCAGAGCCACAGCCAGCAGCGAGAAGCCGAAGCAAGTCCAGGAGAGCCTCTCATCCAAACAGAGGCGCAGGTCCTGCGCGAAGATGCTCTTTCCCTGCAGCTGTCCCGGGCTGCCACACTTCACAAGGTTGGGCAGACCTGGCACAGCGTTCTGTACCTCCAGCAGGAAGTCCACGAAGGCCGCCCCACAGGCACAGTGCAAAGGGTTGGCACTCACATCTAATGTTTTCAGGTAATAGGTCAGTGGCCCAAACCAGGAAGACTCAATCGTCTTGAGGGCATTGTGGCTGAGGTTGACCTCTTTCAGCTCCACTGCCAGGGCAAAGAAACCTGGGTCCACAGAGCTTATCCTGTTGCTGCTGAGGTCTAGCCTCTGGAGCTGTGTTCCATTGGGCAGGCTGCCATTGCTCAGGGCCTTCAGCTGGTTTCCTGCCAGGTCCAGGGCTTTCAGATTGGGCAGGAGGGCCAGGCAGCTCCAGTTGAAGAAGGCCAGATAATTGTGACTGAGACGCAGCAGCTGCAGAGTCTTGGGGAGGTTGTCCAGGTAGCGGGGCAAGAGGGTATGCAGGAGATTCTGGGACAGGTCCAGCCGAAGCAAACCTCTCAGACCTTGGAAGAAATGGAGATAGAGGTCTCCCTCACCCCACATATGGCTCACAGCGTTGCCACTGAAGTCCAGGGCCTGCAGTGAGGTGCTGCTGAGCTTCTGTGACACACGACTGTGGATGTTATTGTGTGCCAGGCTGAGGAATTGCAGGGTGTGCAGCTGGGCCACAAAGCTAAGGTTGTGGCCTACACCCTGCATGCTGAAGGCCTGGCTGTTGTAGCTGAGATCCAGAGCCTTCAGGTTCGGCAGCTCTGTGAACGAGCGCCCATGGTACAGGTCCACTTTGTTATGGGAAAGATCCAGCACCTGAAGACTAGTCAGCAGCCGGAACTCTGAGCCATTGACTGCCTGGTCAATGTTATTGTGGCTCAGGCTGAGGCACTGGAGGTGTGAGAGGTTGGAAAACATCTCTGGCTGGATTGTCACCAGGTTGTTCCTAGACAGGTCCAAAATGAATTTGAGGGACCTGCAACTAGGCATGAAATCTTCAGAGCTGGAGCTGTCCAGTGGGGCTGGAGCGAGATCCCTAGACCACATTTGGACTTGCTTCCAATCATTTGCCTCCCCAGTGGTGATTGTCAGCTTTGAAGCTCCACTAATGCGGTTGTTTGAAAGATCGACAAAGTGCAGGCCAGGGAAGGCCCCGAAGATGCTGAGCTGGGCCCGGTTGATGAAGTTCATTTGTAGATGCAGTGTGTGGAGAAGGGGCAGATGGGTCAACGGCTTAAGCGTGTTCTCATTGAGTGATCGGAAGAAGATGCCGTTCATGTTCAGCTCCTGCAGTGAGATCAGGTTCTTAAAGGAGTCTTCCAGATGCAGGTGGGCAAAGGACACCCTCTTGCAGTAATTGAAGGACAGGTTGAGCTTGCTCAACTGTGTCAGGTTCCGGAAGGCCGAGGTATTGGTGATGCATTCGTAGAGAAAGTTTTCACTCAAGTCTAACACAGTGAGGTTTCTGAGACCTTGGAACAATGAGCTATCAAGTGTATAGAGAGAACTGTCCTTCAACACCAAGCCTTCAAGATGACTTAGTTTGCTGAAGGTGTCAGGATCCAGTTGGAGAGAGACGTTAGGGCACTCCACACAGGGGTTGCGGGCATGGTCACAGCGGCGGCAGTTCCCACCTACATCAAGCACTCGAAGGGCAGTCAGATTGGCCAGGTCCTCACTTGTCAGTTTGACAATGTGGTTGTAGGATAGAAACAGGTACTCCAGACTGGGAGGCAGGTTGCGGGGGACTGCTGTGAGATTGTCATACTTAAGCGACAGGTGGGTGAGTTTGCGCAGGCTAAGAAATGCATCTGGAGCCACCTCCACTGCTCCGCTGCATGGGTTACTGTAGTAGCAGTTGCCATCCATGTACAGAAAGCGCAGGGCATGCAGGCCAGCAAAGCTAGTATGGTCTAGTGCCAGAATGTTGGTGTGGCTCAGGGTCAGGTTTACTAGGGATTTGGGCAGGGCGGGCACAGTGGTGATGCTGTTGTAGCTCAGGTTCAGGTCTTCCAGTTTGGTTGCATGCAGGAAGGTTTGGGGCTCAATGGTCATGTGGCAGGGAAAGTGCATGGGGCTGAAGCTGATCGGGGGGCAATTCCACTTGAGGTTGAGACGCCGCAGGTTAGGCAGGTGGACAAAGTCAAAGTTATGGAGGTGGTGAATGCGATTGGAGATCAAGGAAAGGCTGGTGACATTACCACGGGGTGCTGCTGCAGAGAAGTGGGGCACGGACTTCAGGAACAGCCAGTTGCAGTCCACCAGACTACCCTGCTGGAACTCGCAGGGCAGGAAGGCAGGCAGAGCACCCAGGGCCAAGGCCACAGCCAGCATTGCAGCCTGCACCAAGAGAGACAGGGGGTGCAGGACCCTGGGGCAGGGACCCTGTGGGGGACCAGGGACTACATAAGTGTCCAGCCCTAGCTCCACCTCCACCCATTCCACTTCATAAGGTCTTAGAGCAGAACTTCCAACTCCCCTCTCTCCAAGCCTTCCCAGTGAGGCTCCTCTCTGGCTGTTGAACTCCCTTCTCACCCTCTAAGGCTCTTAGAGAACCTTAATTTGATTTCAGACTCAGCCTTTGACTCAGAATGTGGACTTAGGACCAGGACTGAGCCTGAAATCTAGATTCCTAAGATTTGGAACTTTCCTACATGACTGAGCCCAGCCAGACATGAGGGTCAGGAAAGGTGGTCAAAAGACCCATTTGTCCTTCCTCCCTTTGGGAACCATTGCTCTTTCCTCCTGAACAAAGTGGCAGCCACTTTCTTCCCTCCAGCCACCCTGAAATCCCCTCTCCATCAGCCTTCTCCCAAGCTCTCCCTCAACACCCTGTCTGGCTCAGTCTGTCTTCCACACAGGCCCCTGGCAAGGTGAGCTCCCCCATCCTCTGCCTGCCTCCCACACTGGCCTGGGAGCCCTCAACCATTAGGGGTTATGGGCCAGAACAAATCAGAGGGAGCTGTAGGAAGCAAGGCATCAGCTTGATGCCCTTCCTTGGGTGTCACACAGCCCCAATCCCACCACGGACTGAGGTTCCAGACTTCAGCCTCTTCATCCACCCCATAGAGAAGACCTTTGGCTTTGATGTTTTCAGGGTGCAGTGAGTGTCCCCAGGGCCATGAGCTAACAGTCCCTTTTACTATTGCCTGCAACTGACAAGCACACCTCCCTCCTCACCCCTTCTCAGCCCATCTACCTCCCCCAGACCTAAGAACTGTTGTCCTACCATGTTGGAGAGTGAGAGCTTCTCCAGAGGGTCTGGCCGGCTGACTGGGAAGTAACTGCAGATGAGGGTGCTTCTCACACTTAGGGTACAGGAAAGGAGAGGAAGTGAGAATTTCACTACAGCCTAGTAGCTCCCCTCCTTACCCCCAGCTTAGGGAGGGCAGATGGTGTGTAATGAGTCAGAGTCCATTTGCATAGTCAGGTGGCAGACAGAATCTCACCCCTTCCTCTTTCCACTCCCCTCTCAGATTGCCTATATCCTACACTGGCCTCACATCTGTCCTGTGGTTGATCCTGGGAGGAATGAAGCTCAAAGCCTAGCCTAAGGTCAGTGAGAGATCAGAATTTAAGGTAGCTCCATGCCAGGTCCTCTCATCCTCATGCCTTAAGACCCTGACTCTGTTGATACTCAGGACCCCACCTGCCCCCACCTAGAGAGCTCTGAGGGGCTTCTCATGCCCAGAGGAAGCCCTTACCACAGCCTTGGGACATCCTGCATTTCCAACTCCCTTGATGCCCCATCAGAACAGAGACCACAGCAGTCCTCCCGGGGGTCCTGAGGCTGGCTGCATTGCTGGCCCAGCTGGGACCCTAGGTGATCCTCCACTCTCTCAGTCCTTCCTATGCCGCCTCTGACCCAGGTCAGAACTCAGACTAGTCCGGCTCAAGTCCTCATAGGACCCTGGGAGCCTTTCTCAAGTCCTACTGGCTCATCTTCAGAATCTGCCCGCCACCCACCACCTCACACCCACCTGCCTATCTGCATCCCTAGCATCTCTCCATCTGGCTGCCCTGCCCCTGCTCTCAAGCCCCCATGTCCCCTGGAGCGGCCTGTTCAGACCTGTTGTGTTGGGTCCCTCCTTTACTCAGGTTCCCTCCATAGCTGTCTCTGGAATCAAAGTAGTACATGTCACAGTCCATATAGTAGCCCAAGTTCTGAGACCTGCCCTTCCACTCCTTCCCTGACCTCTCTCCACCCCTACTGGCCTTCTTGTTGCTTCAGACACACTTGTGCACTCTCCTGACTCAGGCCTTTGACTGTGCTATGCCAACTGCCTGGAATCTCTTTTCCCAGATTCTCATATGGCCCCCTCCTTCACCTCCTTTAAATCTCTGTGAGAATTCCCCTCTCCTTTTTTTTTTTTTCTTTTTTTTGGGTACTGGTGATTGACACTGGGGCAAGCACTCTACCCACTGAACCACATCCCCAGCTCTTTTTATTTATTTATTTTATTTTGAAACAGGGTCTCCCTCCATTGTCCAGGCTGGCTGAACTTGTGATCCTCCTGCCTCAGCCTCCCATTCTCTGACCTAAATTTTCCAGTCCTGATCTGACTCTCCTGAGCTCCTCTGCCTGATTTTCCTCTTTGCTTAATGTATTTGCAACTGTTGAGACACCCTACTGTTGACTTTCAGCCGTTTAGTGGATATTGTCTGATTCCCCTGCTGGAATGTCCACATCTTGAGTGAAAGATCTTTTGTATCCCCAGCACAGTTGAATGCCCGTACACAGTAAACGCTCAATGTCTGCTGAAGCGATAGATCCCCTGCACTCAGCTTTGGGCAGGCACAGACAGGATATCTCTGAATGAATGAATAAACAAATGGGGTTTACTCCTGGGGAAGGCAAGGCTACACATCTGCTTTCCCACTCCTCCCAGAACCACCTTTGGGGGGGTGTCATGGCATGAGGGGCCCAAGGTCCAGTCATCCAGCTGACTCAGCAGCTTAAGGATGTTAGCACTGTCTTTCTCTTCACCCGTGTTTGGGACGGGCCTGAACAAACCTCTTCTAGATCCTTGCTATGGTCCCAGCTAGATATGGTCCCCTAGATAATCCTAGGGGCTTTAGCAGGGGCTGGGAAGAGGCCCCAGGGATGGGAAACAGCCCTGAGTCAGGAAAAGGTGAATCACAGTCAGCAATGCCACTTCTCTAGCCCTGCCCCACCTGTGACAGGAGCCTCCATCCATGTCTCAGAGACACAGGCTAAAGGCCTGGCTCCTGCTGAACTCCAAGTCCAGGAGAGACTTTACAATCCCTGGGTTATGGCTTGGACATGAGGTATCTTCCAAAAGCTCCTGTGTTAATGCAGGACTATTCAGAGGTGGAGTGATTAGATCATGAGCACTGTAACCTAATGAGCCCATCCTGGTTTGAATGAGGCTGACTCGGTGGTAACTAAAGGTAGATGGGGCATGGCTAGAGGAGGCAGTCACTAGGTGGCACCTGGAAGAGTGCATCTTCCTTGCGGCCACTTCCCTTTTCTTCTCTCTGCTTCCCAACCCAACTGAGCTGTGAGCTGAACAACTGTCCTCTGTAAGGTCCTTCCCCCATGATGTTCTGCTTCATCGTCGACCCGGAGCAACGAAGTCAGTCATCTGTGAACCAAGACCTCTGAAACCGTGAGTCAAAATAAACACTTCCTCTGTGAAGTTGTTCTTATTGGGTATTTTGTCCCAGCAACACAAAAGCTGATGAAAACATCTGGTTAGGACCAGGGAGCCAGCCTCCCATCTCCGGTAGCCATCCTACCTCCCTTAGGGGCAAAAAAACCACCAAGTTTGTGGTGATTTGTTATAGCAACTACGGGAGACAAAGACACCTAGAAAATCCCCCTATTGTGGTGGAGATGTGCCTGCCTCTCAGGTGGGGATCCCATCAACCTTAGGACTTGTGCCCTCACACACACAGCCTCTCCCACACCCTTGTGGCCAGGAACACTGAGGCTCCATGTAGCAGACCAACCGTTCTCTCCTGACCTATGAGAGGGCAGTTAGCTATTTGCACAGGGCTACCCAATTCCAAGGGCTAGCAGCATTCCCTTAGAACCAGACATAGATATTGATTTAAAAATATTTTATTCTTTAGAAAATACAGCATCCAACCATCCCATCCTGCAGTGACCCCTGCTCCAGCCCCAACCAACCCTACCCACTGTGGTCAAAGGCTTCTGGGCTGTGCTGGGACCCCAGTCTCAGATCCCCTGGAGGCCAGGTTCATGACAGATCCTTCGCCCAGCCCCCTTGAGCCAGCTAGGCAGGGCCCCCAGATGCCCTGGGCACACAGATGAGAGACAGGGTCAGCAATGGGGAAGGGTCACAAAATGCCAACCCAGTGACCCTCAGAAGCTTGTAAGTGTGTTCAGCCACCAGCCTGCCTGACCCATAGGAAGCACTTCCCTGGAGCCAGAGTGAGAAAGAGGGAGGTGCAGGGAGTGGTGAGGTAGGCAGCCCCACAGCTCACTCGCTGGCCTGGCTCTGGTCCAGCCACCTAGCTGTCGTCCCCATTCTCGCCAGGGCCCCTGATGAGTCGCTTGTGGCCCCGCTTGCCCCCAGGACCCTTGGGCTTGGCGAATGCCTGCTTGAAGGCATGTTGCTTGGGGTGCACCTCGTCATAGAGGAACTCAGCTGTCAGCTCTGCCCCGTCGCCAATCTCAATCTGTGTAGGGCAAGGCCACAGTCAGTCCAATGACTCTGACACACATCACCCTTGGTGACTTCCACTCCTGGGCATCCTTTTGATCTCTTGCCTCAGGCCTGGGGTCTCCTTGTAGATCCCCACTGGGAATGCCACCCACTGGAACTCAGACCCTGGAGCCTGCTACTCTGCTTACCTGGGTCACCCCCTTTCTCTCTCCCCCCAGAACCAGGGAAAGTTGTCCTGGTGGCCAGGGCTTGGGTTTGTCTGTGCCATCTGTCATCTGGGCAGCCTTGGGCAGTGCAGGCTGCCCTGAGCCTCAGGTTCCCATTCATCCACAGTAGTGACAAGTCCTGCCATGCTACTGACTCAAGACTCTAATGCCCATGTGGAAAGTGGGGTGACAGTCCCCTGGGGATAGCCACGCACCTTCTTGGCGATCTCCAGCTGGAAGTCCTGCTCGACAGAGTCAAGGAGGCGGCTTTTACAGCTGGAGTACAGCATGCGCTCTTTGATGCTGCACTTATACCCCGGCATGGAGTAGATGAACACTGGAGAAGGACAGGGAGGTGATTCCATGCAGGCTGAGCAACCTGCAGACCTCCGCCCCTTACAGCAGGTCCACCCAGCAGCAGTCCGGTGCTACCCTACCCAGCACACAGCAGGGCCTCTGCAGTAACCACTCACCCACAGACTCAAGGTGGTCACCCTCATGGGTATGCTTATAGAGGAAGAAGTGGTAGCGGGCAGCATCTCGGGGCACTCGTGAGGGTAGCTGGGCCACATCTGTGGGCTCTGTGTGTACCAGCTCGATGGTTTCCCGTTCCAGGTCCAGCTTCTGTGGAGGGTCAGGGGACACATGAGGGCACCATCTACCCAAGAGGAAACCTGCTGGCAGGCAGGGGCCTGCTCATGATCTCTTCCTCATAGCTGTCCCTCTGTGGGGGTCATCCCAAAGAGGCACTCCTGGGCCCAAACCCAATGGTGCCCTTTGAAAGTTGCTAAAGGCGGCACTCCCCGGAACAGCAGTGAATGGGGTGGTGTGGATGGGCTCACCAACATCAGTTCAGCCTGTCCTCAGAGGCAGAGCCTCTTGAGGGAAGCATTTTGGAAGGGGCACCTTAATCAATGGGTCAGAATGACCCTGTCTGGGAAAAACAAGTGGTCAAGAGGGCTGCAGAAGGAGCCTGGGACAGGAAGGGGCTTAGGGGTCAGTGTGAACCCAGGGGTGGGCATATGCGGAGGATGAAAGGGAGCAGTGAGCTCACAGCAGCACCCATGTGGGAAGGCAGAGGACAGAAGAAAAAGAGTGTAACTATGTGTACCTGGTGGCTATTTCTAATGCAGGAAACAGGGAGGGACAAGGAGGACAGTGTGTTCCCACAAGCATGTGGAACAGCTCAGGCACTCCTGGGCTGGTGGGGGCAAGGGTTCTATGCCCATATGTGTATGAGCAGGAGTAGGGGTAGGCCACACTGCCCCAAGCATGTACCAGGGCAGGACCATGCACCCACCAGCTGGATGTAGTTGATCATCTTCTGCTTGAGATGCTGAAGTGCCCGCTGGGCCTCAGGCTGCAGGGGGAAGGCGAGGCCCTGCAGAGTCTGATGCTTGCTTTCCACACTGATCTCTGTCTTCACCTGTGGGGCAGGGCAATAGTGAAGGAGACCCCCACCTGCCCAGCCTGGGGAACAGCCCAGCCCACCAAACAGCACAGGCTCCAGGCACACGTGACCCAGCAGCACACCCACCTCGTTGATACGGATCTGCTGGAGCTCTCTCTCAGCTGAGGTCAATGGGGCAGGTGCAGCACAGGATGATAGGTGTTTCTGGTACCCAGCAAAGGAGAGGTCATCCTAGGAGGCATAAGTGGGCACCTCAGGCAGGCTGGAGGAAGCCCTGCTGAGCATCTCGGCTTACAGCTCCTGGACTCCCAGCCTTCCCATTTCATCCTGGCACTGGGCTTCTCTGCAGCCCTTCACAGGCCCAGCCCCCATCATTCTGGCCTGGGTGGCTACCTTCACTGTTCCAAAGAGTTCATCCTTGATGTGGCCACCTCCAAACTCCTTCTTCACTGTGGCCCGTGTCGCTGCGTACAGCATCTTCAGCCGCACCTGAAGGGTGGAGGCCAAACTGTGAGATCCCTGTGGGCAGGTCTGCCTCTCCAGGAGCAGGCAGGAGGCTCTAGAAGGGGACCTTTTCAACTCATCCAGTGAGCACATCCAGCAGGGGGCACAGCACGAAGGTGAGGGTGCAATGGTGGCTCCTGCCAGCAGAGGGAGCTCTGGCCTAGCTCAACCTCAGCCTCCAGGGGTCAAGCTGATGCTACTCACAGGCCTCTGAGTCCCCAGGGTTCAAGTACAGGGCCCTGTCCTGTCAATCTCTGGGACAGGACCTGACATGCATTCCTTAGGATCCCTGGGACAGGGCTTCATTATCCTGCTCAGTCTCAGCTGCCCTCCCCATTCCCCCATTGGCCCTCAGCCTGGGGCTAAACGGGTCCCTGGGACTCACCGGAGAATTATCAGGTGACCAGGCAAGAAAGAGCCATTCGAATCCCTGAGCATTCTGTGAGTCGAGGCGGAAGAGCAGGTAGCAGGGCTGCTGGGAATCCAGCAGTGGAAGCACAGCCCTGTCGTAGTCCTGGTCCCAGCGACCCACTGGCTCTTGAGAGGCACCCAGCACGAGCTGCTCTGGGGGCAGAGGCCGGGTGAGCCGGAGTAGCTAGCCATCTCCCACCTCACCTCTGCCTGTGGAATGTCCTCTGGAGGTGGCTTTCTGAGCTAGCTCAGACCTGCTGGCTACTCCACCCCACTTTTCTTAGAGCCCCCAAATCTTCAAAGTATGAAACCATGTTACCTGATCAGTGAGTGAACAAACAAGGACAAAAGCTACTACCCAGAGGCTGCTCTCTCTACCCTCCAATCCCCTACAAATCACCCAACACAAACCACATGAAAACACAGCCAGGTGTCCACAACTAGCAATCACATGGCTCCTTCTCAACACCCACACGTGTGGGTCATCACTCTGACCCCACACTACAGGCAAGGCACGCTGCTCAGTGTAGGAACCCCTCCATGCACCTCCTGCTCCCTCCTCCCTAAGCCCAGGGTTACAACAGAAACTTGGCACACCCCTCCTGGGACAAATGTGCTGGAAGAGGTGATGTCACAGTTCCAGGCCATAAAGATCTGCAGGGACAAAAACATCTGGAGAGGGGCTGGGGTTGTGGCTCAGCGGTAGACCGCTCACCTAGCTTGTGTGAGTTGCTGGGTTTGATCCCCAGAACCACATAAAAACAAACAAACAAAATAAATAAATGAAGGAAGGAAGGAAGGAAGGAAGGAAGGAAGGAAGGAAGGAAGGAAGGAAGGAAGGAAGGAAGGAATTGTATCCAACTACAACTAAAACCAAAATATTAAAAAAAAAATTCTGGAGAGGAAGAAGGCACGACTCATGCCACTCTGTAAACAGGTATTCTGCCACCACCCCCAGCTGTAGTTCCCTCTCCTCCAAGTCACAAACCCAACAGCAATCAAGTTCTTCATGCCTGGGCTCATCAGGCCTGTCACCCTCTGGCTGAAGGGGGCATCAGTCTACCCTGTGGGCTGGTATCTCACAAATACCCTCCCGGCACACACAGCTGTAGGTTGGAGGAAGAACTGGGGCAAAGGGGCAATCTAAGCTTGACCAGGGGATCTGGCACCCCACCACAACATCTTCCTAGTGGGATAAGGGATCCATCTGCCTGGAAACTCCAATATGCCAGCTTCCTCACCTGCCCACACAGAACTCGTATGATCAGGGTTGACAGCTAGCAGTCACAGGCTGAATGGGTTGCAGAAGCATTGTCAACATTGCTGTTCATGTTTTCCAACCAAGAATCTCACATAAAAAGTGAAAGTCAGACCTTCTCTAGAAAAATCAGGAGCTCCAGCCACCTCAGTTGGAGTGTGGACATTTCTGGGCACTCCCAGGTACTCCTAAAACTGTAATACAAAACTGGAATAAGCTGGGCATGGTGGCGCATGCCTATAATCCCAGCGGCTCAGGAGGCTGAGGCAGGAGGATTAAGAGTTCAAAGCCAACCTCAGCAATTTAGCGAGGCCCTAAGTAACTCAGTGAGACCCTATCTCTAAATAAAATACAAAAAAGGGTAGGGATGTGGCTCAGTGGTTAAGCGCCCCTGGATTCACTCCCCAGTACCAAAACCCAAACAAACAAACAAAAAACCCAAAAAACCTGGAGAGCCCACCTAGAGATTCTTCCTGCTTAAGATCTTAAGTTGTGTCTGAGGACTGTGGCCAATGAGTACAGCTACCTCTTTAAGGGTGGGAGGCTGTGGCCTACTGCCCAGTCCTTCACTCATGAGCTACCTCATGACTCCTATCCAGTCTCTGAGGAAATCTGGAGACTCTGAACAAAGCCCAGCATAGTCATGGTCATGGCCCTAAAGCCTGGGGTCAACTCTGGGTCTGGACAGTGCCTACTAAAGTGAGCTGAGCAACAAACCTGTTTGGGAAGCCCCTAAAAGGCAGTAGAACAGGCTACTGAGAAGGTCTGCAAGGACCCCTAGAGATCCAGCCCATACCCAGTCTGTTCCCCTTACAGACTAGGACAGTTCCTTGGCACAGAGAGAAGAAGAGAGGAGTCCCTTACTTCCAACACCCCAATTTAGTTCCGGGTCCACGTTGAGGCCTTGCCAAGCATGGAATATCCCCCCTCCTGCCCTCAGAATGGGCTATACCCAAGTCCCTTCTCCCCATTTTGAGGGTTCTTCCCAAAGGAAGAGCCTCGGCATCTCTTAGGTCTCTCCTCGGCAACAGCCAAGCCAGAACAGGCCTGCCGACCACAAACAGATGGAAGTGGGTAGCACTAGCCATATGCAGCAGCGCTTGGACTCTCTCATCCCCTGACCCCTGCCTGCTCAGCCCAGCACCTGGACTAGGCCCATCTCAATACCCACACAGCCTCTGGGGAGACCACAGAGGACCCCAGGATAGGGGCTAACATCTAGGGGTGATAACCATGCCCACCTTGTGCTCCTCTCTGAGGCTTCTTTTTGTGAGTGGCCTTATCCCCACTTCCAGACAGGGAAACTGAGATCCTGAGGGGCCCAGAGGCCAATACGCCCTCCAGAAGCAATTAGGTCCAGCCTCCAACATATGCCCTAGCTCATGGGGGGCACTCACCGTCCTCAATGACAACTTTGATGAGCCGAATGGAGCCTGCCCGCGCCTTGGCAAAGAATTCCTTTAATTCCTCAGTGGCTACAAGAACAAGAAACATAGTGGGGGATGAGTAGGCAGAGTGGAGAGGGACAAGTTTGGGGCCTGCTCTGTCCTGCGGAATCTGGTGGCTGAGTTGGGAACCAGGTTAAATACGGCCCCGCCATGTGACTGGGAACCTGAGATGGCCACTGAACACAAGCTCCCAAATTTAGCCAGCAGAAGTGGCAGGCGGGTGGCCTGCTGGCTGGGATTGCTCTGGTGATGGGGAGGGGCAAGCAGGGGCGGGACAGCCCACCTGAAGATGGGGCAGATTCTAGGCAAGCTAGGCCAGCCAGAATTAATGACCCCACCTGTCTTCTGCTCCCATGAAGGCCCAGCAGTGGGATGGCCTGAAACACACTCAGCACTGTGGAATCCACAAAGAATACACAGACAAATGCCACCGTTATGTCCATTCACACACACACAAACACACACACACATACACACACACAAACATCACATGTGCCAACTCACTAAATCGAGCATATGTGAATATAAAGGAAACATATAATGCAGAGAGGGACATAAATGCAAATACCATTGTATGTGAACACACGATCAACTGGTCAAATGTAAATAGATATACATATTTAGACATGAGAACATGCACTCAGATATAATTCCTAGCTTTATAACACACACGTAGGCAGGCACCTTCAGAGTTTGGCTAAGACAGTGTGCAGGCAAGAAGATTACAAAGCACACACAGAAACACAGAGACATCTTTCCACAGATGCATGCACATGCAGCTCCAGCCCCCCAGCCAGGCTGCCTCATGCTAAGGAGGCCCTGAGAACCCATTCCCTGCCTGGCACAGCTCCACCAGGGACAACAAGCTCTCCTCTGAGACAGTAGGGAAGGCTTCCTGGAGGAGGAGTGGCTCCCAGGAAAGTAATTCCATTTTGGATCCTAGGCTGCAGAGCTGGAAGGTGACAGCCAATGACCAAGGAAGGAACCAAGTGCAGAGGTATGGATCATGGTCAGAGCTAGGGAACCATGGGTAATCTCAGAACCACTAGTAGTAGCGAATGGGAACACTATGGTCCAAGTGGGGAAGGGCTCTGCTTGGGTTATCTGAGTGAGCAGGGCTAAGCCAGCACGACCTTGAGGCTGCCCAGGGGTCAGAAGAATTCCCACAGGAACACAGCTGGAGGGTTGAGGTAAGAGAATATTTATAGGGCCTGGATTGGGCAGCTCAGGGGCAGCGGGAGGGGGGGGGCTTTAAGAAAACAAACTGGTCATGGCCTCAGGTGCCCCCATCTTCCCCAGTGACCTTGTGTCATGGGGTAAGCAGAAGCTCAACTGAGCCCAGCAGGCTCTGGGGCTCACAGCCTCGTGGTGTTGAACTGCATGCAAGAGGGTACAGCCTCTTTGGGTCAGGACAGGACTTTGCAACAGCAGCAAACAGTAGTTTCCTGAAACTTCAAGCCTAGTGTTAGGGCTCCATTCTTCCTTAGCTGTGTGACCTCTGACTTCTCTGGAACTCAACCTCATCTGTAAAACGGAGATAATACCCCCAAGCTCCAGAGACTATAATGAGGAGTAAATGGGACGAAGTGCTCAGGAATGGGGCCTCTTTTAATAACAACTTTTACCCAGTGGCTCCAGAGGCTGGGGCAGGAGGATTGCAAGTTCAATGCCAGTCTCAGCAACTTAGCAAGGCCCTAAGCAATTTAAAAGGATGTTGTCTCAAAATATTAATCAATCAATCAATCAATCAATCAATTAATAAAAGCTGGGGATATGGGTCAGTGGTTAAGTGCCCCTGGTGCTTAAAAAACAAACAACCTCCCCCCCCAAAAAAATTTATTACTATAAGATAGCTGCCCCTTCTACCTGCTCAGACCTTGGGTGGGTGACCAAGAAGCTCCTCTTCAGAGAGGTTGACAAGCCCCTTCTAGTGTTACTAGGGCAAACTGACACCCTAGCACGGGAAGACATCCTTTCCTACCCCACCCCAATCCCTCCCCAGCTGCCATCAATAATCCAGAAGCCAGGCCTGGGATATCTGAACCTTTCTCATCAAAGATTCATGACCCCCCGCCCCTTGCCCACCCTCCCAACTCCAATGAGCCTCAGGTTACAGTCCCTCTACTTGCCAGGATCTGAGGTCAGCATACCTACAGCTATGGCCCATGACCGGGCAGGTACTCCAGGGTATTCTCTCCTGCTACCTCTCCATGCCTAAAATGGGAAGGAGGGCTATTCACAGGTAGAAGGAGGGCTGAGGGCAGCGCAGTCCCCAATATCCTCTAAGCATCCCTGTGTCACTGTACAGGAAGTGAAGGAATGAGGCAGATCCCTGGCCGCAGGAGCTGTCAACAGGGGACATGAGGGTGGCTGCAGCTATGACCAGGCAAAGGGGAAGGAAGGGGCAGGCCAGGCAGTAGATCCCTCTGTGGGGCTGACTCATGATGCCACCTCTCCAGCTCCTCCTGGAGATAGGCTGGCCCACCTGTCAGGAGGCTGGCCCTGACTCAGGCCTTTGTATTCTTGGGTCCTACGGGGCAGGGGGTGCAGTGGGGAGAAAATGGGAGTAGAGCCAGGGAAACCCTTTTTTGGGCAGTTCAGCCATCAAGTGGCTACAACCACAAGCCACAAGCCAGGACTCAGGCAGTTTCATGGTGGTAGCCCTGGGCAGGGGATCATGGTGTGGTGGCAGGAGTGGCAGATGGCCAAAACCACCAAGCTGTCTAGGCAAGCAGCCTGAGCCCTCACTACAGGCCAGGCAGCCCTCCCAGGCCAGTGGCAGATGGGACACTGAGGCCTGGAGGGTCAGGGTATTTGGCTTCCAGCCATTACTTCTCTCCCAGCCTGTCCAAGGAGGAAACTGGGTCCCTGCGGGAGGGGTTCTATGTGTGATACTCTAGGCCATAGATGCTTCCTGGCCATGAAGATGGGGATAGGAGCTGGCCTGGTTTCTCTAGGGCCAGGACCTCCCCTACAAATCTACCCATCTGGACCTTCTTCTCTCCCTCCAGCTTGGAGCTGGGACTTTCCAACCCTGGCTGGGGCAGACTAAAGAGATCACCAGGAAAATGGGAGGGAGGTCAGAGGTCAAGGTCAGACTGACAATTCTCCCCAGGCCACTTAGAGGGCCCTATCAAAGGTTTTCCCCAGCTTAGCCTGCAGGAGTGTGAGGATCCTGAGAGGAGTAAAGGTCAGGACCCCTTCCTCACACACATTCACAAACCCATACAAGTCATGAGACACATCCACTGCATGCAACCATGGTAACAAATGCACACAGAGATGGGTACCAATTGTGCACACACACAGACACCCACACACATGTGCACACTGTCAAGAAACAGTGATGTCTAAGATGGTCCCATGCTACCTACAGTGTCCAAACAGCCACTAGGGCATGTACATGAATGATCTTAGATGTGTACAAGCAAGTCACATCCAGATGGGTACGCATGGAACTGTATACAGAGGACATGTGCACATGCGTGTATACTCCGCCAGATGTGCACATCCGGGTACACCCACCCCAAGAAAGGAACAAAAATACACAGACCCGCACACACAGGAACATCTACCCCCAAGGGGTACGTAGGTATTTCCATCCCAGCTGTGTGGGTGCATGTGTACCCACTCTCAGCTATGCACAGCAAGTCTGTACTCCCCCAGATGTGCCCATCCCAAGCGACTGGCGGCTACAAAGCAGAACAGGAAGCTTCCCCTGCTGATGCTAGGGAGAGGAAGGGACCGACAGCCGGAAAGGGGGCGCAGCCCAGAGCAGAGCCTCTGGGAACCTCTGCCCGTCCGCCAACCGCCCTCACCGTGGATGCCCGTCTGGTGCGTCATGGCTCGGTGTTCGGCTCGCCCGCGCCGTCGGAGCCCTTCGCTTGGCCCTGACCAGGCTCCTCTTGCCTGGACCTGAAGGAGGAGGATGTGGTGGCAGCCGCCGAACCTCGCGCAGCTTCCCGGGCGGTGCCGCAGGACCCGCCCCCAGCGGCGCCCCGCCCCCGACGGGCGAGGCCGGGAGGGCGGGGACTCAGGGCCGCGCGTGCGCGCAGCGTGGCCCTTGGTCTACTGGGTTGTCAGGCTGGCTGACCGGTTTTGTGCGCGGTCCTATGGCCGGGAAAGGGGCCTGCGTCTGCCCCGGGGGTGCGAGGGCATCGGTGCGCCTGAATCCGGTAATCCGTGGGTGGGGCGAATCCATGTGTGCAAGTGGGAAAGACTGTCCGCCCCTGTCTGGGTAGGTTTGTAAATAGGGACAGTTCCGCACTTACCCCAGTTTGTGACCGGAAAAGGGGTCAGAAGGTAAGTAAGCGCGTGCGTGATTGTGCGGGGATCCTATACCCAGGGGACGTTTCCCGAGCGCGTTTCGCGGAGCATTAAGCACATTAGGGCACAGGCCTGGGCCTTACGGTGGGAGCCCAGACCCACCTTCTACCAGGCAACCAGCAGATGAACAGGATCTGTGGTGGCGAGAGCCCTACCCAGAGAATGTGAGATGGAAGGAAGCAAAAATTTGGTAGAATCCTGAAGGAGAGAATGTGGTGACCCAGCAGAGCAGAGCGAAAAGTTTTCTTTGAAGAGGGAACTGCACGTGCAAAGGCCCAGAGATTAAAGGAACCTGGTGAGTCTGAGGAATTTCCAGCTCCTAATGAACTTGTCTCCATACTTAGCAACCTTTCCTTCCAGGCATCAGAACTGACTGCTGCTACCAGCCAATCAGCATTTTGTATTTTCCAGACTCCTGTTATTGAGTCAGGGGTGAGCGTATGACCCCAGCCTATCCAGTCAGACTCTCTTCAGGGACTTCTTGAAAGGGAAGATTGGAAAAGAAGCCTCCTTTTTTGGGTAGGGGTCGCTGAGACATGATGATGGATGTGTGGCCTGCCTGGAATCTGATAGTCTTTGTATCACACATTTATTTAATCCTGTTGACAGCCCCTGAGATAAATGTTATTGTCTCTATCATACAGATGAAGACTTTCAGGTTGGAGAAAGGTCAAAGGTCTTCGTTTGGTCATAAGGCAGTGAGTGTGCTCAAGAACCTTAGATTCCTTTACTGGAGAAGTTGAACAAAGGGGGGGGGAAATCCTATTAAGCAGTGACCCTTGTTCCCTCCATCCATCTCTCACACTTCAGTGATCAGGTATGAAAGGAATCTTCTGGGATATTGGGGGTTTGAGCCCTTCCTGCTCAGCTTAAGATCTGGGATGTGGGCAAGGACCCCCAAGGCCAGCAGAGTACCAAAGCAGATTCCACCTCCTGCTGAGATCTGGTTTCAGGCAAAAAGATGAGAAAGCTGCCTACATATGTATTCGAATGAGTCAGGGGCAGACTGGTTGCCCCTATCTTTCTGATGTTTCTCACAGACATTTAGCTATTGAAATTATTATAACAGTTTTTTTTTTAAGGTGGATCAAAGAGTAATAAGTAATAAGTAGGGCTGGGGATGTGGCTCAAGCGGTAACACGCTCACCTGGCATGCGTGGGGCCCTGGGTTCACTCCTCAGCATCACAAAAAACTAAAAGATGTTGTGTCCACCGAAAACTAAAAAATAAATATTAAAAAATTCTCTCTCTTTTTTTTTAAAGTAATAATTTGCGTGCAATGATGCTTACCTATAATCCTAGCCTCAGCAATATAATGAGGACCTAAGCAACTTAGTGAAATCCTGTTATAAAAAGGGCTGGGGGGCTGGGGATGTGGCTCAAGCGGTAGCGCGCTAGCGCTAGCTTGGTATGCATGCGGCCCGGTCCTCAGCACCACATACAAACAAAGATGTTGTGTCCGCCGAAAACTTAAATAAATAAATAAATAAATATTTTTTTTAAAAAAAGGGCTGGGGAGGTTTGGGGTTGTAGCTCAGTGATAGAGTGCTTGTCTAGCACATATGAGTCACTGAGTTCGATTCTCAGCACCACATTTTTTAAAAAGTACTTTAAAAATTCTAAAAAAGGGGGGGTTGGGGATGTAGCTCAGTGGTGAAGCACCTCTGGGTTCAGTCCCCAGTCAAAAAATAAGTAATAAAAAAACTGCAGATGGAGGACATTATGCTAAGTGAAATAAGCCAGAACCAAGGGTCAAATGTTTTATGTGGAAACTAGAGCAAAATAAGGGAAAGAAGGTGGTGGGGGTTCATACATCATAGAGGAATAGGGAAGATCAACGGAATAGAAGAAAAAGAACAAGAAGGAGGGAGGAAGAATGGAAAAGGAGAGGAAACATAGAATTAATTTAACAAAATCATTTTATATGCACATATAAATATACCAAGGGAATTTCTTTATACGTAGAAAGTATCAATCAAAAATAAATAAATGAAAGCTGGGCATAGTGGTGCACACCTGTAATCCCAGTAGCTCAGAGGCTGAGGCAGGAGGATCATGAACTCTAAGCCAGTCGCTAAGCAACTCAGAGAGACCCTGTCTCTAACTAAAATATAAAATAGGACTGGGGATGTGGCTCAGTGATTGAGTGCCCCTGAGTTAATCCCTGGTACCAAAAATAAGTATGTAAGTGAAAGGAAAATCAGAGTAGAGGAAGGAAGGAAGGAGGGAAAGGAAAGGGGCATTGGGATTGAAATAAAATTCCTTGCATGTATGAGTTTGTCAAAATGTACCCATTTGTGTGAGGGGAGGAGAGATTTTATACATACACACTTTTCACTTAAATTTGCACAGAATTCTTTGACATCTCTGGAAGGATCCCCAATAAATTTAGTCATAATAGAGGTCTCTGGGAAGAGGAATGAGTTGTGGGGACGACTTGCTGCTAAATAAATATTTCTATACTTTGTGAAAATAATAAAATATAGTCATATAAAAATATTAAGTTTAAAAAATTAAATCTGGGGCTGGGATTGTGGCTCAGCTGTAGAGCGCTCGCCTAGCAAGGGTGGGACCTGGGTTCGATCCTCAGCACCACATAAAAATAAAGGCATTGTGTTGTGTCCATCTACATCTAAAAAATGATAAAATATTTTTAAAAATTAAATCTAAAATCTTATTAAAGAACAGATATGGAACTAAATAAAAGCTACTTTCATTGGGAGTGGAAAAATGTAGAATAAAACCTTTCTTCCTTTTTCTTCCCCCCACCACCTCTCATGTTAGCTGGGGAGAAGCCTCTGGCCAGAAGGGGGCGGACTTGGGTTCATTGGAGCAATTGGGAGAAATGTGTCAGTGAGAGTGAGGAGTTTATATTGCCCTGGGAGAGCCTAGATCAGGAATGAAGATAAATTCATCCTAAAGGATCTCATCCATTTTAGATACCGAATAGAAAAAAAAAGCCTGGAAGCTTCTGGAAAGAGAAAGGGGTAAACACAGGCTGTTGGAGACCAACCTTGCACGTGACTGAGTCACACTCCCCACCTGGGTGCTGAGACACTCAGTCACAGAAATGTGGCATAGATTTCCCCACCCTTCTTGGGTTCGAGGGACGGTGTCTGGTGTATGGGTGTGTCTTGCTAGGGCCCCATAGGTGAAGCTATGCTCACCTGTTCCTTTGTAATATAACCCCTTGCCCTGTTTAGGATAGAATCTTCCATGGAAATGCCTTGTGTGTGTCCCCTTCTCTTACTGTGCCCTTGGGTGTGGCCTACCCAGGTTTCAGTCAACCTACTGACAGTGGACATCATGAAGATAGACTCAGCCTCCTGTAATCTGACCCCTTGCCTCATTTGAATAGCTTCTCAATAAAAGGGGTCAGCACATGCTCTCTCTCTCTGCGGACCCTTAAGGTCAGAGGAGCCATCATAGCGACTCCAAAGAAAAAGGTATTTGTGTCTCTTGTTTTGTGCAGCCCAATTAGCCCAGTTTAACTGGAGTGACCCCTGAGCCTTTTAGTCTCCAGAACAGAAACCCGGCAACGGCCAATCTAAAGAATGAGAAAGATACTGGATTTCAGCATCAGCAGTGGCAACCAAAAGATAATTAATTGAAGTAGGATTCCAAACAGTACAGTAGTCAAAAGCAGAGGTAGGGTGGCGTGTGCTGGTGCATGCCTATAATGTCAGTGACTCTGGAGGCTAAGTTTGAGGAAGCCAGCCTCTTCAAATTCAGAGAGACCCCTTCTCCCATTCCAGCAATTTAGCAAGACCCTGTCTCAAAAAATAAAAAGGGCTGGGGATTTAGCTCAGTGGTAAAGAACCTCTGGGTTTGATTCCTAGCACCAAAACAAAATAAAATGGGCTGTGGGTGTAGCTTAGAAGTAGAGTGCACTTAGGTTCCATCCCCAGTATCTGGGGTAGGGTGGGGACAGGGAAAGAAAAAACAAGGACAGAATTACAACCCTTTGAGACCAGCAAGAACCCAGGGGCATTTAACCACTAAGCTACATCTCTAGTCCTTTTATTTTAAAGAAATTTGAGACAGATCTCACTCAATTGCTAAGGATCTAAGTTAATGAGACTAGCCTCAAACTTGAGATCCTCCTGTTGATTCAGCTTCCCCGAGTCACTGGAATTAGAGGCATGTGCCTCCCTGCCTGGTGATTCAGAGGCTTTTAAAATTTGAAAAAAAAAAAAAAAAAGCAAATTCACTCTATTCCCCAATCCATTAGCTTGGACTTGCCTAAAGTGGGTCAAAGTCCTGTCCTAAGTCATTCTCACAGCTCTGGGCAGCCAAATATTTCACGAGTAGTCTAATGCCCAGTTTATTCACTTGTTTTCAGAGCTACTTGGGCTAGAGAAACTCTATTGATGGGACAGGGCTGGCTGCATGGAGGAAGTGGGACTAACATGATCCTGGGCTTGGGAGTGGAGGTGAAGGTAGGGACTCTTCATATAGCCATCCCTGGGGGCTCTGGGCTGTGGGGGCGTATGGACTTTGAGTTTGCTTTCTGGAAAAGGAAAGAGGAAGAGAAATCCCTTGGGGGTGGGAGGTTGTTTAAGTCAGCTGCACTGTCAAAAAGGAAACAGCACAGCTTAGAGAATCAGAGACTTCCCCTCAGCAGGCCTCAGAGCCCTCCATTACAAAATGGAAATAGCAGTCATTCACAGGGTGTTGAACTTAAAGTGTCAGAAGAGTGACAAGGTGCTTTTAAAATGTAGATATGAAAGGGGAAACTGCTGCTGACCACATGGTGATAGCTAGCCAGGCATTACGAGGAGACTGAACCATCTTTGTTATCAGCGTGGATGAAAGTCTTTCACCCAGTTCTGAACTCTAACCAGCTACAGCCTTTGGGGGCACCATGGATTCGCCTTTCAATTCCCATATGTTCACTCACCCTCTAGTGAATATCCTGCTGTCTGCCCAGAGAGGACATCTTAATTGGAGGAGCAGCCATTTGGGAGACTAGCCTCTGGGGCAGGAGCAGCCTTTCAGGGTGGGGAAGGCCCAGATGACCATTAACTTCCATCTGGGGGTGGAGATGCCCGGCTGGGTGGGTGAGGAACAGAGACGTCCTGAGTGAACACCAAGTTTCTTACACACGCTTACTCAATGTGTCTATCTGACCCCTCCAAGGACATCCTGTCCCCATCTTCCTCTTGCGCAAGGTACCCGCCCAGCAGAAAGAGGCTTGAGGCTTTGCGGTGGACAGGGGCCCAGTGCCTGCTCTGGATGACTGTCCACAGCATCTTGGGTAGCAGGAGGGACTTTCCCCTCCCAAAGGCTAGTGCTCTACAAGTGTGGATGAACATGTGATCCTGCTGTGTTGCTGTTACGCACACAGGCGACTTCATTCTCTAGACCTGTTTTCCAGTCTGCAGAGTTTGCTTCTTAAAGGTGTCGGCAGGATCCACAAGTCTGAGAGCTCAGGCCCGGCACACACTTCAGGCCGTAGGTGGGGTTAGGCGCGTCTCCACCCAGACCGGCTCCCGCCCCCAGCCCGCTTCCTCCTCCCAGGGGCGGTCCGGCCCAGCCCTCGGGGCTCGCGCACCACGGGCAGCCCCCTGCAACCAGACCATGTCCGCCGGCTGGTTCCGGCGCCGCTTCCTGACTGGGGGTCCACTCCCCGCGCCGCGGCCGCCCGGGCCACGCGCCAGCCCTGTGCCCTACCGGCGGCCCCGCTTCCTGCGTGGCTCTGGCTCCAGCCCAGGAACCGCCGACGCCTCGCGCCGCTCGGACTCCCGGCCAGTGCGTAGCCCAGCGCGGGGCCGCACGCTACCCTGGAACGCAGGCTACGCCGAGTGAGTGCCTCCAACTCGGGATACCCTTGATCCAGGAACCCCCATCAGGGCTCCCGCCTTATCCAGTCGAGGGTTCTCTGCTGATCTAGAAAACAGGCTAACCTGAGTGACACCCCCATCCCACTTGTAGATAACCCTTCTTGTCCTCAACTAGTGACTCCTTATCCTACCTCAGTGTTTTCTTTGGGTCTCCAACCTCCTTAAGAGAAGAGTGTTGATGGGGAACGACTTGCACTCCAAGACTTCCAAGATGAGGCCGGGAGACTGTAGAATTCCAGCATTGTGGGATTTGGGAATCCCAAATCTCACCCAGGGTTATATGGCCTGTGCTGTGTGGAACACCTAAGATGCGGCAGGGGATAGGAAAGGGAACCCTTGATCCCTGTAGAAAATTCACTCCTACTTCAGCCCTGTGTCAACAGATAAGACTCTAGAGGGTCTGGGCCTTGACTTTTCTCTTAGTCACAAAGCCACTTAACAGGAAACTTAAATCAAAATTGCCCAGAAGTTTGTCAGGAATAACACTCAGGAACTGCTGCCTCTTTCTGGGGTCTCTGTACCCAAGGGGACACAGGTATGTCACTGACCTGACCTTTTTCTGGCCTCAGGATCATCAATGCAGAGAAATCTGAGTTCAATGAGGATCAAGCTGCCTGTGGGAAACTCTGCATCCGGAGATATGAGTTTGGACCTGAAGAGGATAGGGAATGGTTGACTCTGTGCCCAGAAGAAGTAAGTGCAGCCAGTTCTGAACTTTTCTTACAGGCTGGGACCAGGGTATACAGGCTCTCGCCTTGCTGCCCATATTCTAGTGCAAGGTGGACCAGGGGGGAAACTGGCAGAGCCTGACATGGAGGCCCTTCCTGTGCAGTTCCTGACGGGTCATTACTGGGCACTATTTGATGGGCACGGTGGTCCTGCAGCAGCCATCCTGGCTGCCAATACTCTGCACTCTTGCCTGCGTCGGCAGCTGGAAGCCGTGGTAGAAGGCATGGTGGCTGCTCAACCCCCCATGCACCTCAGTGGCCGCTGTGTCTGCCCCAGTGACCCCCAGTTTGTGGAAGAAAAGGGCATCAGGACAGAAGATTTGGTGATTGGGGCCCTGGAGAGCGCCTTCCAGGAATGTGTGAGTATACCCTTTGGAGAGTAAGGGATGTTTTTGATCCCAGGGACCTGAGTGGGGCATCCCTGCATAACATAACATATAAGGCCATATAACCTTGGACTGGGAAGACATGATTTGAGTTTGTTTCTTATTGTCACTGTCATCTTAATCTCTCCTGTTTGCTCCTTCTACTACATGCTTTTTTTTTGGTAGGTGGGATTGAATAGGGCCTCCTGCATGCTAGGCAAGTGTTCTACCACTGACCTACATCCACAGCTCAGTGCACTAAGTGCACATGCTGCTAGTCCTTGGGGCAAGGGCTAGTTTCTCTTCCTCTGTTTTGAGTAGCACTTCCCATATCTGCATCTTCTAACTACAGGGATTGAGGACTCATGGCTGGACTTTGGGCTGGGACTGCCAGGCCTGCTTTTGGGGAGTGAACCTTAGAGTGGGATTGGGAAACAGTGGTATGATGGAAGTACAGGTGGCAGCTAAGATGGCCTTGGTTTGCTCCAGGATGAGGTGATCGGGCGGGAGCTGGAGGCCTCAGGCCAGGTGGGCGGCTGCACAGCTCTGGTGGCTGTGTCCCTGCAGGGAAAGCTGTATGTGGCCAATGCTGGGGATAGCAGGTGAGTTCTTGGAGTGTGGACAGGGGTGGGGTGGGCAGGAGAAAACCAGAAAAGGGACAATGAAAGATGACTGGAAGTGGAGGTTTAGAAACAGGGAGGATTGAATGGCCAAGTTGTTTGTACCTGGCATATGTCAAGTGTGAGGGATGCCAGGAAGAGCATCATAGGGCCCTTAAATGCTAATGTGAAAAACTGAGCCTTACCCTGAACACAGTCTAAAGGGCTTTGAACCAGGGATTGGTATGGCCAAAGCTGGCTCCTGATGGTGAAGAGGGGCTGGCAGGAGGGTATCCATGGATGAGATCTGTGAAGATCACTTCATAGATCCCTCCTCCTCCTCCTCCTCAACCCCATACAGGGCCATCTTGGTTCGGAGAGATGAGATTCGGCCGCTGAGCTCTGAGTTCACTCCAGAGACTGAGCGGCAGCGAATCCAGCATCTGGTAGGTACCTTCACCAGTGGGAGGCTATGGATCCCCAAGTCCTGGATCCAGAGCCATGAGGGGCCATAGAAGGGAGATTGACCTGAGCATGGCCTCCCCACCCAGGCCTTTGTCTACCCTGAGCTTCTGGCTGATGAGTTCACCCGACTGGAATTCCCTCGGCGGCTGAAGGGGGATGACTTAGGGCAGAAGGTTTTGTTCAGAGATCATCACATGAGCGGCTGGTGAGGAGGGAGGGGGCATATGGTGGGGAGAGACCTGAGGTCCAGGCTCAGCTGTGCCAGTCCCCCTCTTCCTGGGCAGGGTGGGCCCTATGAGGGTAAAATAGCTGGGCCCTGGGTTGGGAGACAAATGAGGGCTTGGGCTGATGCAGGCTCTGCTTCTGGTAGGAGCTACAAATGTGTGGAGAAATCAGATCTGAAGTACCCACTGATCCACGGACATGGCAGGCAGGTCAGTACCTAGTCTCCCTTCAAGAATCTCCATCCACTTGCTCCATGAAGGTGGGAGTTCCTTTGTTCCTTAGTGGGGACTGTGGCTAGTGTCCTGGGGTCTGTTCCCTTGTTTCTTCTTCAACGCACAGCTCCTGGGGTCTACAGTCCACCCTTTCCTGTGTGCTCAGGAGTGCCAGGGTCTTATCACCTCACATCTCTCCTCTTTCCTCAGGCTCGGTTACTGGGAACGCTGGCTGTCTCCCGAGGACTGGGAGACCATCAGCTCAGGGTCCTGGACACAAACATCCAGCTCAAGCCCTTCTTGCTCTCTGTCCCACAGGTGAGAGGACAATGTATTCCACTCCAGCCTCCATCTGCCTGTAAAGACAGGGAGTGAGCCTGGTGGGAGCCAGGAAGGGAGCATTTAAGGATCCTCAGGCTTAACTTTCAGGTAACTGTGCTGGATATGGACCAGTTAGAATTGCAGGAAGAGGATGTAGTTGTCATGGCAACTGATGGACTCTGGGATGTCCTGTCCAATGAGCAGGTGGCATGGCTGGTACGGAGCTTCCTCCCTGGGAACAGAGAGGATCCACACAGGTATGTAGATGCCAGAGACCTAAGTAGTTAAGCTGAAACAGCACTGTCAGCCAGCCCAATTAGGGCTGTCTCAAACTTCTCAGAAAGTAGGGGGAGTGATTGTGGGTCAGGAAAAAAATCTTAAGGCTAGGGAATAGAATATACCTCAGTTGGTAGAGTGCTTGCCTTGCATGCACAAAGTCCTGGATTCCATCCCCAGTTCAAACACACACACACACAAAAAAAATCTTTGGGTTGATTCCTGTGGTCCTACCAGACTTGTTTGCTCGGCTCATAGTTGGACTACATTTTTTTGGGTCCTCCAAATGTCTAACCTTTGCAGGGAGTTATCCTGGAAGGCTGGCCTTGTCCCTTTGCTCTGCCTCCAAAGTACATCTGCATGATGGTCTTCACAGGTTCTCGGAGTTGGCCCAAATGCTGATACACAGCACACAGGGGAAGGATGACACTCCCACAGGGGAAAGGCAGGTGTCCTATGATGACGTCTCTGTGTTCGTGATTCCCTTGAACAGCCAGAGCCAAGGAGGCAGTGGCTACTGAGGATTCTGACACTGCATCCAAGAATCACTCCAATCATTGCAGTATGGGCATGCCTCCATTAAGGCCAAGAGCAGGCCCTGTTTGTCCCACCCACAGCCCAATGTTCCTGCTTCTCACCCAGGTTCATCTGTTTCAAGGGGATTTTTTATACCAGGCAGCAAGAGCTGGAAGAGTACAAAGAGCCCAGCCCACCAGGTCCTGCCTTTTGCAATAATCACATCACTCTGGTAGAGGGATCTGATTTCCTACAACTTAGGAAAACCTTGTGAGGGTTCTCAGACAGGATCCTCAATAGCCCAAGAATATTCTTAGAAAGAGATACCCACATTAAGAGTATTAGTCAAAGATGCCACAAGGGGTAGCATCCTGTATTTGGATACAGGTTTTCCAATCCATGAATGTTAGGGCATCCATTTAAAAATCCTCCAAGAAAATCTTGGGCAGTCTCACATCTGCTATCTTGAAGAAAGCTCTGGAGGAGACACCAGCTTAGGTTTTGCCCTGTTCTTTGCTGTTGGAGGGCATGGCCCCTACAGCTAAGGTTGGGGGAAGAGCAAAAAGGGGCAAGAGGAGCTTCCAGAGTTGGCTGGGCAGGGAATGCTTATCACTACCTCTGGCCTGGCCTTCTAACTGACTGCTTCCCCCTGGCCCCAGTCTCACCACCAATGCCTTTGCTTTTGTTTCTTATCACATTCCTATTATTAAATGTTCATTTGCAGAAGAGTCCTTGTGAATTGTGAACTGCTTGTACAGCTTGGATTAAGGGCACCTTCCAGAGGATTAGTTTTAGCTCTACCATACAAACTTGCATAGAGTTGGAACTATTTTCTCTGAAGCCCCCTAGTTCTTGAGTGAGTCCCCCTCAACCCCCATTGTTGCCCAAGAAACAGAAAGGATGCCTTTACTACCACTGTAAACTCAGCTTTAGGTACCATAAGGATTACTTTTTCACTTGATTTTGAATGCAAACTTCTTTTAAGCCGGATTTAGCAGGAAACATACATCTGTTAAGATCCTTGGGCTTGCTGCTTGACAGCTTCAATTTCTTCACAAGACTGTTGGCATCTAAAACTTATTAAGGCTCAGGTAGTATTTGAACGACAAGGCAAACCATGACTTAAGCTTCCTCCGAGTTCCTGAATTCACTCCTAGAATCGAAGTAACTTTTGCCAGGCAACTCAAGTTTTAGACTGCAGCCAGAATATCCAGTAAAACATGGTAAAACTTGTGCAGTTGTGAGATTCCATTTCTCAGATGTTTTTCAACAGAAAAAAGTATTACCATATATATTCCATTTTCCATATAATTGTATTCCTCAGCCCAGGATTTCTAGGCCTGAATCTGGGCCCAGTTGGGGCCATAACAAAATGATAGTCCTTGAAGTTCTGCATAGCATCTCTTATCAGTCAGCTGGCAAATGCCAGAATGCTGTCCTAGCAGCCTACAGGAGACTGACTTCCTCCTTCCTCAGCACAGCTTTCCCCCTTCTCCCTGAGCAATGTGTGGGCAACATTCTGTCCCTGCCTCTTCCCTACATCAACTGCTAAACCAGCTCACCCCCATAGCCTGCTGGCCTCAATTCCGAACAAAGCTAAAGGCTACTCCCTGCTCCTGCTCTTGTTCTTTGCACAAGGCCAAGACCCAGGGAATAGGTGCAACAGGTCTTTCAATTGCAGGGAGACCACAATGAGAGTGGCTGTGGCAAGGGCAGCCATTCTGACTGATTTGTTCATATTTCCCAGCAGAGCTAAAGCTGCAGTAGCCCTCCCACCACACCACATGATGGTCTCTTACTCCTTGAGTACTCTTGAGTCAGGAGAACCTATCCAAGGCCAACTACACCCAAGCCAGAAGGGTCCTTCTATCAGAGTCCCTAGCCAACCTCCCAAGTGGTATAGAAGTAGTCAGAGTGGCAGGATTTTCATCTGCTCTAGTTCAAAAAGTCAGAAGCAGGTCCTACAGCTCTGATGATGTTGAGCTAGAGCAGCAGGCCCCAGGAATTACCATCTCACCAGGCTAGGCAATAAGTTACCAAAGCAAGTGGCTAGGCTTTTTGCCGGACCTGGTGTAGAAGCCACCAAAAGCCAGGATCTAGTAGGGGATGCATATTCCAAGAAGTTGTCATTCTGGTCAAAGGTTGAAATAGTGGTGTGAGGTGTGTGTGTGTGTGTGTGTGTGCAAGGCAGACTGACATATATGCCAGATAAGTTCCGAAGATTAAGGTTGGCTTAGGCTTTCCTTTAAATGTCACTCATTTCTGGTCCAGTGGCTGCCTATTAGAGCCTAGGGGTTCTTACTCGCCCATAGGCCTTATCTAGCAGGGGTTACAACAGTCCATTCACACAGCATTACAGGGAGCCTCATGCAAGCTAAGAGAATGAAGGTAGAACAACCCATCCCCTCCCACTCTCCCTCCCTCTGGGTACCAGGCAGACAATACTTCAGAAACTCAATGGAAGAGGCTGCACCCATAAAATTCTGTTTAAGACTGTTAACATGGAAAAAAAAGTTTATATGTTAAGTACAAAAGGGACATAAAATTGTATATACAGTAGAATAACAACTATGTAAACACACCAAAAACCTATGCACAGAAATGTGTAGAGGAACATTTAACACCAAAAGATTAACAGTGGTACCATTTGGGTGGCCAATTGATTCTTTAAAATTCCCCTAATTATCCTTAATGAGTACTAATTAAGATTGAAATAGGGAGTAATTTTTTTAAAATATCCCCACTGGCTGGTGGTTGAGCAGTGCAGTGTTGCTGTCACATACAAAGCAGTGGCTTTGGCCCTAACTCCAGCCCCCAGCAATACATTTACTGCAGGGCCAGCTCTCAGTCTTTCTCTCCCTTTTATCCTAGCCACACTTCCAGCTTAATCTTTTCTATTCCTCCCCAACTCTGCTCCACAGGGCGTAAAGTAGAGGCTGTGAAGTGACATGTTTTTCAAAGGACATGATGCCTCAGCTTTGGACATCTGAGAACTCAAATACACATCATATTCCTACTATTGGAGAGTTCCTTCTCTGTTAGTTACATGTATATAAATTATACAGCCTTTCTTGTTAACTCAGTTTCAAGCACGATCTCTGACCATTCCTAATGTGAACTTTCTACCCTGAAAAGCCAGGGGAGGGCAGTAACAGCTCAAATTATTTGGTTTCTCAGAATCCCTCCACTCTGGGAAGGAAGAGCTACACAGTGGGTGGCATGGTAGCAGTTGCAGATTCCAGTCTACTCTTGGGAAAGGTGTATGCCTATTTGCCCTTTCACTTTGATTAAAAAGTCAAAAGAGTAATTGCTTAAACAACAAACAACAACAAAAAAGAGAAAGTGCTAGTGATTCACAGCCTATATCTGCTGCTAAACAGAAGCAGTGATGGCTTGATTTACCCTAGCAGCTATGTACCTTTGGACAAGTCATAACTTTATTGGGCCTCAGTTTCTGGATCTGCATGGAGTGTTGTCTGCAATAAAATGTTTCACTGGGTACTTAATGAAGTAAAATGCCACTTGGTCTGCTCTTAAGAAGGCCATGCAGGGGAAGAAAAGGCCATGGGCTGGATACAGAGCATCCCAACTTGGGCCTAGCTAAAACCTCTTCCTCTCAAGAAAAAGCAAGAAAAAGAGCAAGAAAGTAGCCATACTAAGTGGGAGTAACCTGTAATTGGTAAGAAGCCTTAGACAAACAAAGTGCTCTGGTTTCAGCATCCTGTCCCTAAATGCTGCAAGCCAGGCACAGAAGCCATGCAAATGACTGTGACATATATACAGATGCAGACAGAGCACTACCAGGCAAAAAAGAGACTAATACTGCAGAGTTCCCCAAAGTGCGGCTTGAGGAACATAGGAAGTCATCCCAAGACCCTCACTTAGCTGCCATGGAAACAGCAAACACAAGAAGCTTTGCTTTTATTTAGTTTCCCAAAGGAAAAAAGGTAACAGGGAAGACTAACACTTGTGGCAAACACTATTAGCAAGGATGCAGTCTTTCTCCTGGGTTGCAGGACTCCACCTTCTTCGGCTGAACTGAGAAGCTACAGGTGATTTTATATATATATATGTATATGTATATATATATACACACACACATACATACATATATATGCGTACATACATATATATGCATATATGAATGCACAAATATATTTAAATGAAGATGCACATACTGTGCTAAAATACAAACCGAAATCAAAGGTCATATATAAAAGGCTAAATATAACATATAACACAGGCCTAGAACCAACTCTTCAGTGGGAGCTGGGTAAAAGGGGGGTGTCACCTGGAGACTATGTACACAATTGTGGTGGACAGGGAAGGAAGGCATCAGTGTAAACAACTCAGACTCATTCCACAATACTGGCCCACAGGAAAAGAGCAATGCATCTCAGGTACAAAAATAGACTCCTACCTTGCTTTTGTACAAACCAAGCTTGGTAGGCACCCAGGACTGTAGGTTTGTCTTGATGATGGGACTGCACCAGGCTGCTGCTAAACCTTCTAGCCCGAGGAACACAATGCTACCCCTTCCCACCCTTTTAGGTTCTTGAGCCTTTTCCTACCCAACACCAGAGCCTGGGGCCTATCCAGACCACCCACCCTTACAGGACAACTGCACAGCTTCCTGACAAGCAAGGTCCTTCTGTATTTGTCCCTATCTTTCACCCTAAGGTATATGAAGACTTATTTCTGTAAATGTTTGGCACCTAACAAACATGATGGCTGTGGAATAATGCCACAATTACACAGGGAGACCCAGTAACAAGACATGCAGGGTGAGGGCAAGGGGCACTGAGCTGCCCAAGCATCTCAAAACCAGAACTGTGGCTTCCCATGCATTTATGGAGATGGGAGAAGGGATGTGCAGAATTGAAGACTTCATTGGCTCCTCAGCAGCATATACATTCAAAACTGAAGGTGCTTTTGAGAGCCCCACTATAACCTAATCACAAGTCTGGTCACTCTGGAGGAACCTGGTGCATTGATGGCTGGAAAGGCTAAGTCCCAACTGAGTCGGTGGCACCAAGAGTTCTTATGAAGAAGCTCAACAAAGTAATTTTTTCTTTTGAGCAGATGTACAGCACATCCATGGGAAGGCCATGTGAAAGGATGTTGTCCAGCCCAGTCAAATGATCCAATCCCACTTATCTCAGTCCACTCTGAGTTTTTCCTGCTGGCCACCCCCATTATACAGAAATAGCTGAGTAGCATCAAGGTCAGTCATCAATGGTTGGCAACCAGAAGGCCTAGAAAGAGAACACAAGTCATATAAGCCAGCTTTAAAAAGCCAAGCCCCCTCTCCCCACCTCAAGATTGAACCCAGAGCCTGGGGCAATGCTAGGCAAGCACTCTACTACTGAGCTGTATCCATAGCCCTTTTTATTTTGAGACCAGGTCTCATTAAATTGTCTAGGTTAGTGTTAAACTTGCAATCCTCTTGCCTTAACCTCCCAAATAGATGATATTACAGGCATGTGTCAGCAACCAGGCTTGTGAAGTGCTCTTTATACCCCTGATCCCCAATGGTGGAGAGTTATGGCCTGGTGTCATTCCTTCCCAAATGACCAACCTGGCAGTCTGAAAACACACACTCCACCTAGGCACTGTGGCACATACCTGTATCCCAGGGGCTAGGGAGGCTGAGGCAGGAGGATCTTGAGTGCAAAGCCAGCCTCAGCCAAAAATGAGGTGCTAAGCAACTCAATGAGACCCTATCTCT